GTATTAAATAGTCTAGGGAGGTAATAGGTCCTCATGAAAGTTTAGTATCGCAACAGCAAATCCGACCATAGTTGGGGTATTTTTCAGACCCTTATCCCTTAAATTTATATAAAGTTAAATAAGTAGACACACACGTCATACTTGACATATACAAGTTAAAATATATATCTACGCACGTAAAGTTGGAGAACATAAATATTAGCGGAAAATAAATTAAATTATAGGACTATGTATTATTGTATCATTCAAAAAATTAAGTAGAGATTTGCTTACATTTCTTTATTTTATTAAATTTTCTTTGGTATGTGAATCCATAAATAGAGAAAAACACGTTCCTTTGATCCTTCTTGTCTGATTCTCTCTCTATAAAGGCCGAAGCACTCGGCGATTTTGTACTCTTTTTTTTTCCTTCTCTCTCAGTTGGGGTGGATCCTGATCGGGATTTGAATCAGTAAGTTTCATCAATATTTTCTTTATTTATTGAATTTTTTCTGCATAATTTATTGTTATTATTTTGATCTTGTGTGATCTGTTGCAATTTAAATTGAAGAAAATGATCCAGTATTGATTTTCTGTTATAGAATTTGTATCTGGGTTAGATCTGTTTGATAATTTGATGGTGTTGATCTGTTTTTTTTTTGGTTTAGCATTGGTTAATTTATGCAGATCTGATAGAGAATCATTTGAATTGGTGATCATTGTTCGGAAAATTTTGGATCTAATGATCTGGGTTTTTTTTTATTTTGGTTTGTAATGGGGAAACGAGGGATTAGGTTTAGAGAAATAAGTTTTTGGATTGAAATGAGTAGGAATGGAGTAGAATATGTAGAGGATTCATATTGCCAACCCCGACTAGTTTTGCATTGAGGAGTAGTTAGTGTTTTTATTAAAAAATTGGGGGTAGGTGGAGGAGAAATGGGTGAGGGGATTACAAGGTATAGCAATCGATTTTTTAGCAACAAGGTGAAAGTTCAGGTAGCTAACCAACTAAGCTACTAAGATTCAAGTGAGGTGAGGAGTAGCTAGGTTGATTGATTGATTAGAAACTAGATATTGTTTTGTTTTTTCTATGCTATTTTTACTTATGGATTTGAGGTTGCTACAAAATCTTGATATTGGTTTGGAATTTTGCATGTGTTAGAAGCTGCTTCAAGATGTCAACATACACCCCTAAGAATATACTCATTACTGGAGCTGCCGGATTTATTGCATGTCATGTAGCCAACAGGCTTGTTCGGAGCTACCCTGATTACAAGATTGTTGTCCTTGACAAACTTGACTATTGTTCAAATTTGAAGAACCTTATTCCTTCCCGATCTTCCCCTAATTTCAAGTTTGTTAAGGGAGACATTGCTAGTGCAGATCTCGTTAACTACCTTCTCATAACTGAGTCCATTGACACTATAATGCACTTTGCTGCTCAGACCCATGTTGATAACTCCTTTGGTAATAGCTTTGAGTTCACTAAGAATAACATCTATGGTACCCATGTACTATTAGAGGCCTGCAAAGTTACTGGTCAGATCAAAAGGTTTATCCATGTGAGTACAGATGAGGTCTATGGGGAGACTGATGAGGATGCTGTTGTAGGAAACCACGAAGCCTCACAACTCCTTCCCACTAACCCATATTCAGCCACAAAAGCTGGGGCTGAAATGCTTGTTATGGCTTATGGTAGATCATATGGGTTACCTGTTATAACCACTAGAGGGAACAATGTCTATGGTCCTAACCAATTTCCTGAGAAACTAATCCCTAAGTTTATACTTTTAGCCATGAGGGGAAAGCCTCTTCCTATTCATGGTGATGGTTGTAATGTTCGTAGTTATCTCTATTGTGAGGATGTTGCTGAGGCTTTTGAAGTTGTTCTACACAAGGGAGAGGTCGGTCACGTTTATAACATTGGAACTACAAAAGAGAGAAGAGTGATTGATGTTGCCCAAGATATATGCAAACTCTTTAACATAGATTCAGAGAAAGTTATTCAGTTTGTGGAGAACAGGCCATTTAATGACCAAAGGTACTTTCTGGATGATCAGAAGTTGAAGAACTTGGGTTGGTCTGAGACGACCATGTGGGAAGAGGGTCTGAAAAAGACTATTGAATGGTATAAGAATAACCCTGATTGGTGGGGGGATGTCTCTGGAGCATTGCTTCCCCATCCTAGAATGCTGATGATGCCTGGTGATATAGAAAGAAATTTGGATGGAGCTGAGAAATATGATTCTGGATCTACCGAATTCTCAGGGAAGTCCAATGAAACCAAAACGGCAGCTCCAGCTTCAAAGACCAGCAATGTGCCTCAGAAATCCCCTTTTAAGTTCTTGATCTATGGTAGGACTGGGTGGATTGGCGGTGTGCTAGGGAAATTGTGTGAGAAACAGGGAATTCCTTATGAGTATGGCAGGGGACGTTTGGAAGATCGCTCAAAGCTTTTGGCAGACATTAATTCTGTCAAGCCCACACATGTATTCAATGCTGCTGGTGTCACTGGTAGACCCAATGTTGATTGGTGTGAGAGTCATAAACCAGAAACAATTCGCACAAATGTTGCTGGTACTCTAAACTTGGCAGATGTTTGCAGAGAGAATGGCCTCCTGATGGTGAACTTTGCCACTGGCTGCATATTTGAGTATGATGCTGCACATCCAGAAGGTTCTGGTATTGGGTTCAAAGAGGAAGACACACCCAATTTCGCTGGTTCTTTCTATTCAAAGACCAAGGCCATGGTAAGCACTTGTTTAGACTTTGATCCATAATACATCATTCTCTTATTTAGGCACTAACGTATTTTCTTGTTTTCTTTAACTAGGTCGAAGATCTGTTGAAAAATTATGACAATGTTTGCACACTCAGAGTTCGCATGCCAATATCTTCAGATCTCAGCAACCCTCGCAATTTCATTACCAAGATCAGCCGCTACAATAAGGTGGTCAATATTCCTAACAGTATGACCATATTGGATGAGCTTCTTCCGATTTCAATTGAGATGGCAAAGCGTAACCTCAGAGGCATATGGAATTTCACAAACCCTGGTGTTGTGAGCCATAATG